TTTCAGAGACCACAAATCTGAGTGGGCCGTGTGCAGACAACGCCAGCTAGATCATGGCCAAATTACGACGTCGCGCGAGGCTCGCGTCTCTGTCTGTCTCTGTCTCTGTCTCTGTCCCCCATTCTATCTTTCCAACGCCAACCATGCGCCTATGAACTCTGTTCGCCATCCATCCAAACGTGCTGGTATTCCTCTGCACCATTTCCTAGGTTGCCCTGTGATTGCAGACACTGCCACCACGCATTGCAGTGGGAAGACGCCTCTGGCCTGCTCCCTGATGCCACGGTTTGATCGCCTTCGGAGCACGGCAAACCAAAGCACGTCCTCTGTCCCTCCAGGGCTACCACGGCTCAAGGGCCAGGGTCGTTCCCCTCACCCTCATCCTTCTTCGTCCCAGACCAAGCTCCCTGCCTGCCTGCCCGTTCACCCCTCCCCTCCTCTCCTAGCCTCTACCCGCCCCTCCTCCAAGGACCGAGACCAGCTAGTCTCACCTTCTTTGCATCTCTGGTGGCGTCCTCGTCCCCAAGATCCGTCCAGATCAACCCCCCCCCCCTCCTATCCCCCCTAGTCACCTATTCTCTGTCGGCTGCTAATACCGCTCCCCGTCCGCTCGACATTTTCTGATCTGCTCTGCTCTTGTCCTTGATCCAACACTGAGCCTCTCACCTTCTTTTCACCTCGCCAGCTTCGAATCCAACATCTTCGCCAGTCCGGCTACACCCGCCACAGTCGAATATGCTTTGGCCTTGATACCTCCCCCCCCTCCCCCACTGGCGACATCTCGGCGGCCTCTCCAACCTCTTGGACTATACCCGACCTGTACAAACACCCCTCTCCCCAAAGCCACTGTTCGACATGATGTCCAAAGGAAATCGCCTGTTGGCCTTCTTGTGCCTTGTTCTTCTCTTCCACGTTGCTGCATCCCGCGTCTTGGACTTGGAGCCTCGGCAGCAGGATGGACCGCAGGATGCCTCGCCATCACTTTCACCTTCACCCACACAGCGAGCTTCCCAGACCGGTGAGGTAGCCCCCACTACGACCAATGGGTCCAGTGACGACGAAGAGACTGGCTCGGCGTCACCAAGAGGCTCTGCCACCAGTGCCTCGGATAATGCATCGGTAGCCCCGACGCCCTCTGGCCTCTCCGAAGACGACAGTAACATTGATCTCTTCAACGGTAAGTAGCTCACGGTATGCATGTGCTGATGCATGTGCTCAACCTCACCGATGGCTAGCCGAATCTGATGGCTGATCACCTCGCAGCGACCATCCCTGAGGGCCAGCTTCCACTGCAGCCTGAGATCACGCCGGGCTGGGCTGTTTCAGGAGTCCTTCTACTTCTCTCGGGCGCTGTGTACACCCTCATTGGGATCAAGAACACATGGCTTCACACATTCTTCTCGACCGCTTACCTTGCGAGCCTGGGTACTGCCGTTCTGATCGTCTACGTGATGGAGCCGCCCATCAGTAGTGGCATCCAAGGTGCCTATGTTGTTGCTGTGGCCTTGACCGGTCTCATCCTTGGTGGCGTAACAACATTTTTCAAGGAGGTCACTGAGGGCCTTGGTTGCATGCTCGGCGGTTTCTGCCTCAGCATGTGGCTGCTTTGCCTAAGGCCTGGTGGACTTTTCCACGCATCGTCGTCAAAGATTGTCTTCATCGCCTGCCTCACCCTGGGCAGTTTCGCCTTCTACTTTAGCCGCTACACCCGCGACTACGCCCTCATTGTATGCATCGCCTTCAGTGGCGCTACTGTCGCTGTCCTCGGTATCGACTGTTTCAGTCGGGCTGGTCTTAAGGAGTTCTGGGCTTACATCTGGGATCTCAACGACAACATTTTCCCACTCGGCGCGACCACCTACCCTATGACAAGAGGAATTCGGGTAGAAATAGCCGCTATTATTCTCATCTTCCTTGCGGGCATCATCTCTCAGATGAAGCTCTGGAGAATCATCAAAGAACGCCGTGCTGAGAGGGCCGCCAAACGAGCCGAAGGCCAGCGCAACCTGGAAGCCGAAGAAGCCAATGTTGGCCGGCAGATCGAGGCTGAGAATGCACGTGAACGGCGCGAGTGGGAGAGAGCGTACGGCAATGGCGAGGGGCAAAGCACAGCAGGGTCCTCCGACTCGGCCACAGACTGCGAGAAACACCCTGAAAAGGCGGTCGACGGCAAGTCCAGCAGAGCGCAGTCGACGGTTCAAGTACAAGCTATCGAGATGGACGACATGAAATCTACGGGATCTGCTGAAGCTCCCACCCAAAAAGCGCCCGGCGGTATCATGGTCTCGCCCGAGGAGAACGACGGCATCGTCACCGTCAGGGTAGCACGAGACGACGACACTCTACCGGCTGCCATAGGCGAGGGAGGTGAAGATCTGGACGAGAAGCGCCCGCCTCCCCAGGACCAGGGTGTGCAAAACATTCAGCCAGGAGCTCATATCGCTGGTTATTCATCTGCAGAGCCCACAGCCCCTGCACCAAATGTCGTTCCTCTGCCATTCAAGGTTCCCAACGAAGGTGAAAAGGGGCTGAAACAAGATGATGACCGGTCATCGGTGGCCACTTTTGCCGCTGACGAGGTAGAAGATGCTCGGGATGTCAACAAACGGCACTCGATGGCGAAGCGTCTCTCACAAAGCTCTATTCAACTGCTCAGGAGAGTTTCACACCGTACAGCCCGTTCTATTCAGCACGAACCTAGTCACAGCCAAGAAGAACTTGTCATTCCGAGGGCGCCCCGAGGCGATGACGATGGATCGGTGGCTGCCACTATGGATATCGCGAGCCTTGATGGTGACGATCGCTCAGTGGCGGGAGAGAGTCGCCGTAGCTTCGAGATCAATGCCGAACTCGCGGACAAGGACAAGACGGATCCGACGAGCGGAAACCAGAAGACACCGACCGCCGCTCAGCAGCCAAACGTCGCCTCCGCACTCGCCAACAAGCACATCTCCACCGCGGAGACTGTTGCGACGGACATTTTGAACGCCACGGATATGGAAGGGGGTGGCAAAAACGAGGGCGCGGGTCCGACTGCACCAGCGAATCGCTTGAGTATGGCAACTGCCGTAGAAGCAGCACAAGAGGAAGAGACATTAGCCGCGCGCTCCATACAAGAATCGCCTAAGGCTTCAGTCAAGGGCAAGTCGGTGGCCTCAGTGGAGTCTACGCCAGCCAGCCTGACGCAGGAGCGCCTCCCCATTGCGTTGTCACGCGTCGCCATGTCATACCGGACGAACGAATGGGCGAAGCATCTGAGCCATGCCGACATGCCGGAGCCGGACACCCTGCAGCTCAACGATTACGTCGCTGAGGAGATCATCGCCAACCCAAAGAACGAGGTCGCAAGGCCTCTGAATGTCGAGGAGTTGCAGCAAACAGCAAACACTGGAGCACCCGCGCCCAACCCACCTCCTCAGTTCGATCCTCAAGCGTTGACTGCTTTGACCCGTGCCGACTCGCGTCAGTCCAGCAAGAGCCCTGTAGTGCCCAGCGGTGCTCGGGACACCATGATGACGTCGACAGCTGCGGCCTCGGGTGTACCTGGCCTGTACAAACATTCGAATCAATCTGGCCCGTTGAATCATCAAGCCTCGGTGACGGGGATCAGACGATCATCAACGAATCTTCATATACAACCCATTACCGAGGAGGCCCAGGACGTGCAGGCAAAGCGGCGAAACAGCTCTGGCGCAGACTCGTTTGTGCCATCGTCGCCCGTGGCAGCGTTTGTGGCGGACCGGCCGCCTGTCCCCGGCGTGGTAAGCTACTCGAGCCCTCAAACCTTGCTAGGACAGCGAGAGATGTTCCTTCGTAACAAGTCGAACCCATCCCTGCCCAGCATGATGACTATGCCAGACGTGCAGGGCGCGGCACGCACGCCGAGCGAGTCCGGCTCTCTGTACAACTACCCGGCCTACGCCTCTCAACCCTTGCCTCGGGCTCGGGACAACGACGACATGCCCATGGCGCAGCGCAAGGAGCTCATGCGCCAGAGTGGGCTTCTGCGGTCCTCGGGATCCTATGGGTCGCTGCCGCCAGGTGCCGTCACGTACACGCCGCCGCCAGCAGCATCAGCTGAAACCCTGGCATTCGACTCGCACCAGCCCCAGAGGTACTCGACTCTGCCGTCCGAGGCGGCTCGGAACTCGCAGCTGGCCAACTTCCGGCAATCAGTTCAGCAGGATCTTCGTGCAGGCACCCCGCTTGGTGGGCAAGGCAGCGGTCGTGAGACGCCATTCCACAGCGCGCAGGCAACGGGCGCCGGCGGTAATGACCTGAAACGGAGCCTCGATGTGCAGCGCAGCCTGTTGTTGAGCCAGAAGGAGGCCGAGGCGCAGAGGCGGGAGATGGAGCGCTGGGAGAAAGAGAGGGGCGACCGGGCGTTTGCTGCGAGGATGCAGAGCGGAGATCTCATGGAAGCGCATCGTGATATCATGCGACGCATGCAGAGCAAGGCAAATGTGAAGGATGAGTGAAGCGACAGGAACTCATGACGACATACTTTCAGTAATATCTTTGGTGTTTCTCATTTTGTATACTTAGATACCACGGCAGGAAATGCATCTCGGTGTTGGGATCTGGAGAACGGGGTATTGGCCCCTCCTAGTCGAGGTCAAGGCCATGATATTGAAACGACATAATCAATGTTAATTCCGACGAACAGAACGTCTTGGCGCCGAGTGACACGCCGTCCACCAGGCCACGCCACAAGGAACTGTGCATCGTAGTCTGCACGGAACAAGACAACCCCGCCAACCCGATGTCGGTCGGCAACCCGGGTGTTGGCCGCGTGGGCCGGTAATAACCCGGGGTTTGTACCGCCCGAGAGGGAAGGAGGTGAGGGTGATCGTGATGCCGAGACGCCGCTGAGCGTCATTCATTACGCAAAAGCACACCCTGTGTTTCTGCTCCATGCTCCTCCACCTTTGCCATTTCCTCTTCACCTCTTTTGCAACTCGCAATCGTCGAGACCATCATGCCTCGGTGTCGTCGTGACTATGCCTAAGGACATTGAGCACCGAGATGGCCAACACGAGGCGGACGCGGGACACGACGTTCGAGAAACAGACGGCCGTGACGGGGCACCGGCAAACGCAGAGGCAGATGTGAAGAGGGAGGACGAGGATTCGAGAGAAGGCGAGGGCGAGGGCGAGGGCGAGGGCGAGGGTCATGATGAACGGGCCCCGAAGCCGACATGGCGCAGGGTCATTGGTTTTGTCCTGGCGCAATGGCTCATCATTGGCTTCGGCCTCACGTGCTTGTTTGCATACTTCTGGCCCCGTACGTACAAGAGGAGCCTCTCACGACTCATCTGCTACAGAGAAGAAAATACATGGAAATACTGACGAGCAGATTGGCAGACGTCGCGGCCAAGGGCGGGCCCATCCGCTCCGAGTACAGCATCATCTACGGCGCCATCGCCGTCGTCTTCCTCATCAGCGGCCTTCAGCTCTCGCCCGTCAAGCTGCGCGAACACGCGACCAACTGGCGCCTTCACCTGCTCGTGCAGGGCATCTCGTTTGTTGCCATCCCCGTCGTGCTGCTGATCGTGCTGCACGTCTCGGTCGCCGCCGGCGCCCTGCGTGACCGCGTGCTCGACACGAGCGTCTTTGTCGGCATGCTGGTGACGGCGTGCCTGCCGACGACCATTGCCTCCAACGTTGTCATGACGCGCGCTGCCGGCGGCGACGAGGCGGCGGCCATCATCGAGGTCGTTCTCGGCAACGTGCTCGGCGCCTTCCTCTCGCCGGCACTCATCTTCGCATTCCTCCCCAAGACGGCGCCCTTTGCGCCCTGGCAGCCCGCGAGCCCGTCGACGCTGGGCCCCATGTACGCCGGCGTCCTGCGCCAGCTGGGCCTCACGGTGCTGCTGCCGCTGGCCGCCGGCCAGATCATCCGCCGCTTCTTCGACGGGCCCGTCTCCTGGGCGCTCCGCGTCCTCCGCCTCGCCAAGCTATCGGGTGTCTGCCTCGTGCTCCTCATCTGGACGACCTTCTCCGGCGCCTTCCACACCGGCGCCCTGCAGGACACGCCGCCCGCGAGCATCATCTTTACCGTCTTCATGAACCTCGCCCTGTACGCCCTCTTCACCATACTGTGCTTCTTCGCCGCGCGGCCGCCCCTCGCTCTGGCGCGGCCCGTCAATGCCCGCGTCGCTGACGGACGCTTCTGCCCGCGGTTCCTGCGGCGCGCGCTGCGCGTGCGGCGCATGCCGCGTGATCAGACGGTCGCCATTTGCTTCTGCGGCGCCGCCAAGACGACGAGCCTCGGCATCCCGCTGGTGGCCGCCATGTGGCGGGACGCCGACGACCTGACCATGGCACTGATCCAGGTTCCCCTGCTGCTGTACACGATTGAACAGGTGTTCGTTGCGCAGGGGCTGGTGTACTTCTTCCGTTGGTACCTGGACAGGCCACCTGCTGAAGGGGAGGCGAACGATGCGGAGAAGCAGCAAGGGTGCGGAGGAAGGTGAAGAGATGAGGGGTCAGATGGGGGGGGGGACCTTTTGGCAGTAGCCTCGGCGGGTTGCAGCAAGCATGGCACACTGCCTGTCAACAGGGTATGGCGGGCGGAAGTTCGTCCTGCGTCGACATGTCGGGAACGGCACCAGGCAGCGCTGCCGCCTGCCGAGAATCCTATCGAGGTAGGCCCCGGGCGAGAGGATTAGCTAGCGATGCATAACAGGAGGTCATATTGGTCTTGTGAGCGTCATGTGGGACTCGGAGCTTCTACCGTCCGTATGATGAAATCTTGGGTCCTATGATATGCATGCCATCAAGTGCACACGTTGTCGTCGATTGGCAATTTTCGTGTCCAGGGTCCCTGGTGCATAGATTCATCTTTCATTTCGTCTGGCAGGGGAGCTAGATCCCGTGCCCTAGCCAACTTTCATACATCATGAAGCGGGTGGAAGCCATTCCTCCGCATGCCCGGCCTCTGTCATCCGGTATACACAACAATTTTCCCAAAAAGGAAGCCCGTCTCTTTCAATGGGCTCCTCGCGCTCGCCCTCCTCTAGCAAGTAACACTTAGGACTTCTCGATGACGCTTTCGAAGAGAGCCTTGAGGCTCTTGGCGCTCTTCTTGGGGTAGCGCTTCTGGTCGTTCTCGTAGTCGACGTAGGTGACGCCGAAACGCGTGACGTAGCCCTCAGCCCATTCAAAGTTGTCAAGCAGAGACCAGGCCATGTAGCCCTGGACCTTGCAGCCATCCTCGGAGACGGCCTTGGCCATAGCCTTGACGTACGTGTCAAAGTATTCGGTACGCAGAGTGTCGTCGAGAATCTCGTCAATGGGCTTGTCGGACTCGCCGAGGACAGACGTGCCGCTCTCGGTGACGTAGATGGTGGGGTAGTTGTAGCGCTTGGACAGCCAGTTGATGAGGTCGCGGAAGCCCTGGGGGTTGGGGCGCAGCCAAGGTGACTCGGTCTCGGGGCCGATGCAGTCGCCAGCCTTGTTGTAGAAGAGGCACTCGAGGTTTCCGAGGTGGTCCTCAGCGGGGGGAGTGCCGTCAAGGTGGCGGACGTAGTTGGCGGTGTAGTGGTTCATGCCGTAGAAGTCGTTGGAACCCTTGACGAGAGCCTCCTCCTCAGGGGTGAACTCAGGCAGACGGTCGCCGAGCTGCTTGCGCATCGAGTCGGGGTACTTGCCGAAGTAGACGGGGTCGGCGAACCACGAGATGGCGAACTCGATCTTGCGGTTGGCGGCCTCGACATCCTTGGGGTCCTCGGGATCCCAGGGGTAGGTGGCGTCGCCGTTCAGGGTGATGCCGATCTGGCCCTGGTCAGTGGGCTTGAACTCCTCGCGGTAGACCTTGACGGCACGGCCGTGGGCGACGAGGAGGTTGTGGCCGACGATCCAGGGCTCGCGGGAGGTGTCACCCTCGGCGGAGCGCTCGCGATCGGAGGTGCGGCCGGGGGCGAAGGCGCCAATGCCGTAGCCGAGGATAGAGGAGCACCAGGGCTCGTTGAAGGTGATCCAGTTCTTGACCTTGGGGAGGGCCTTGAAGACGACGCGAGCGTAGTTCTCAAAGTCGAGAGGGAACTCCTCGCGGTTCAGAAGACCGCCGTAGCGCTTGTCGAGACCAGAGGGAACATCCCAGTGGAGCAGGGTGATGAAGGGGGTAATGTCGTTGGCGAGCAGGTCGTCGACGAACTTGACGTAGTGGTCAATGCCGGCCTGGTTGACGGGGTCGTTGCGGCCACCCTCGGGGATGATGCGGGCCCAGGAGAGAGAGAAACGGTAGACCTTGGCACCGAGCTGCTTCATCAGGGCAATGTCCTCGGCCGTGCGCTTGTACGAGTCGCAAGCGACGACACCAGACGAGCCGTCGGCAATCTTGCCGGGAATCTTGCAGAAGTCATCCCAAATGGTAGGGCCACGGCCGTCGGCCTCGATGGAGCCCTCAATCTGGTAGCTGCAGCCGTGACATGTGGTTAGCCAAGCAATTTCCCAGCAGGCCGGTTCTTGTTGTCGGTTGGGGGACGAGTGTCATTCATGAAGGGGCCCCGCCGCCAGGACTGGGTAAATGGCATTATGGGGCGGAGGATGGAGAAGGTAGGAGAGGGGTAGCGGCCAGGAGAGCAGAAGCGCGGGGGTCAGGGGTCGTGAGGGCGGAAGGAGCAAACGCCGCCCGATGGAGAGAGAGGGAGGGGCTAGATGGAGAGTGATCGCATCCGTACAGCGGAAGTTCATCCGAAAGGGGCCAAGTCGCGAGGTTTTGCGAGGACAAAGAATGAGCGGTTGGGGTAAGCAGCAATGAGATTTGCTTCTTTTTTCCCCCCTGTACTTACGCAGCCGTAGCGAAGCCCCAGAGGAAGTCGGCAGGAAGAGACATGACGTGGGTGCTGGGGTCTGTGTTTTACTGTTGGGTCGTGGGGTATCAAGAGAGATTCTGGCGTTCTCGACGTTCGAATTTTGACCGGCAAAACTGGAGGGGCGACGCGAAGCGGGACGTCTGTGTGATAGAACCGCGCAAGGGATTCTATCGTCAGGACGAGAGGAGAGATGGTGGTAGGTATCGAAGCGGGTGGTAGAGCAAAAAGAGAGGAGAGGAGAGGAGGCCTGAGAAAAAGAAGAGACGACAATGCCCGCTTCTTATATCGCGATGGACGGGAGGCTAGGTGCATGACAGGCAAGCCTGTACCAGGATGCAATTCCCATCTCGGGGTCAATCAATGAATGGCATGGGCCACAGCAGTCTGGTCAGGCATGGCGAGGCGGCGTGCTCTGCGGATGAGGGGCCGAGGCGGCTGCCCCGGGGCCCACGAGCTGTGATTCGGACCGTCGTGACCGAGAAGAGGCTAAGGGGTTGCCGGCCAGGGGGGGGAGGCGAGATACCCTAGGCCGACAGGGTCCATCGTGGTGTGGTCGGGTTGGGAGGAGATCGTGATGGTGTGGGAGACCATCGTCGAGTATACCAAGGGAAGCAAGCGAAGAGTGGCACATCGGGCGTAGAGAAGACGAAGGAGAGAAGGGGGGGGGGCAAACGAGGCCAGAAGTCACGTACCTGCAGACTGGTGTACCATTGGGGGAAGGGCAGGATCCCCCCTGGTGCACCCCTTCTTGCCCTTGGCTTTGCATGCCAGTGCCATGCAGGCAGTGACTGCACCGCAGGGCGTAACTACTTGTACAGGGCAAGCAGGCAGGCAGGTCTCACATAGGCTGTTTACCCCGCCGTGGGGTTCCTCTACAGCGCACAAGCAGAGTACGAACACCTGGGTTAGAGGTACCCGAGCAGTGGATGTCACCTGGGAGGGCAGTCGCTTTGGGGCGTAGGTACGCTCCTTCTCCACCTTTTTCTTTCCTTCCACCCGCAGGCTGGGGCCGCGCTTGCCCCGAAAGAGGAGGGTGAGGGGATAGAGGGGACAGAGGGGTCATCCATGCATCTCACGCCCTGACGGCCAAAACCAAACGACGGCCCGTCTTTCCGACAAAGCAGTGTTCTTCAGAGGACAGAAAGGGCAGAAAGGGCCTCTCGCTCATCACCCAACAGCAAGCAGTCTCTTTCTCGTCGTTGGCCCCGTGATCTTTTGCCGACACTTCCAAGTTTCGCCCTACACGAGAGATATGCCGACTCGACCCCTTCAAACGAAAGCAAGAAAACAGGAATGCCCCAAAAAGGCAGTTCCGCCCAGGAGGCTGTTTCGATATCCCGCGCGTACAAACCCCAGATGACCTCTTTCTTCCCCAGTCTGGGACCAACTACAGAACCGATCTCTCATTCATCCATGCCGCTCGTCCCACGCCGCCGCTTTGGGATGGATCTCCAACGTAGGAGGCCCCCCCCCCCCGGGGGGCTCCCAAGCTATTCCCATCCGAGCCCCCGCCCTTCAGGGATACCACTACACTTTGGCTTATTTCGCCGCTTGGTCACAATCCGCACCTCAACCTCTCTCTTCCCCTCCGGACTTTCTCCGTCTCGCGATGCCTGTTCTCGATGGATAATTACCCTGTCCACTTATTCATCTTGCTCTTCACTCTCGTGATCATCTTGGCCGGATCCATCCGTCCATGCAAGCCGTGCCCAAGGTTGAACTGGATGCGTGCGTCTTCTCGAATCCAGTCGAACCGGGTGCTCCCCTGGCCAGCTGCTTGCCGCCGCGCGCCTCGCCTCACTGCAATTAATCAATGATCAACTGAAACAGGTCGATTGCAGGCCCCTCCGGCATCGCGAAACGACCGCCCATCTTGCCCTTCTTATCACATTAAACAACTCACCACCGTCGTAGCATTCAGGTCATCAATGGCAGGGAAAGAGAGAAAAGTGCGCATCGTCTCGAGCCCAGCTACGCGCGACGTCTTGTTCAGGCCCGCCTCAGCCGGCCCGGGACTGTCGAGCCAACGAGCCATCGGCCCTGCACACCCACGGAAACGGGAACCAAAATCATTGGCACTCGCCATCCCGTCACTCGGGCTGCGCCTTTATCTGCCTGTCCCGTCGACAGCCCACATGAAAAATTCCCCGAAAGCCGCCTCTCAAAGTCCGTCGCACTCCCACCTTTCGCAACCCACCTCCAACGTCATCTGTCTGTAGTTTCCAAGGATTGTGCTGCCTGTGCATATTCGTCAATTGATGACAAGATCCATTGGAAAAAAGGCAGAGAACAAGACGCGGGCGAGGAAGGAACATTTTTTTTCACTCGGGAGCGCAGAGCATCAAGGAATACACATAGTATAACTCGTCCTAGGTATCGTGGCGGAAACCTGGAAAACGAGATTGAGCATCTCGCATCCGGCATTATGCGGATAGCTTGGACGCCGACCCAGAGACATATCCACTCCCTCGTGACCTCGGCGGCTCTCCCTCCTGCCCTCGCCCGCCTTGCTTCATCAACCATGCTCCCTTGTGGTACCGGCCATCCGTGAGCACGAGCACGCGTCGCTTTTCAAACCCGGTGAGCAACAATCCGGGCCGCCTCTCCCCCCTCACCGAACGTCGGGGTTCGGGACGAGAGACGACGCCTCAGCCATGTAGCCTCTCAGAGCCCGAACCCATGCGCCATCCTGGTCTCTTTTTGCAACGCATATAGTACAGGTCGGAGAAACGCCATTGACTGCTCCATGCACGACATGGTACGTGACTCCCTCTTGCCAAGCAGACGCCTAGCATGGCACAACGCAGCAGTATGGGCGATCCCATCAGTGCGTGCCCTCTGCAGCCACATCCGAGTCACCGCGGTCGCGCAGCTTGCGCTTGCCAGTCTTGGAGCCAGCGTTGCTCCTGTTCCCGCTGCTCCTGTTCCCGCTGCTCCTGTTCCCGCTGCTCCTGTTCCCGCTGCTCATGTTCCCGCTGCTCATGTCCACATCCTCGACCTCTGGCGCAACGTTGCCGTCTCGGTCATCATCGTCCCCGGTCCACTCGACAATCTCCCACTCGACAGTCGTCGTGCCGTTCCTTCTCTCCGTGATACTGTGGCCCTGCCGCACCGTCTTTCCTAGTCGGGAGCCCTCGACGAGGCTGTTGAACCAAGGCACGCTCTGGGATTCCCTATTGCTAGCCGCGCGCCTCGCTATCTGTACCGTCCTAACGCCAGACTTGTTTTCAGACTCGACATCAGGCTCAGGCTCAGGTTCAGAATCAGGCTCGGGCTCGGCCTCGGGCGACCTGGTGTCTTCGAGCTCAGGGAGTAGCCCCATGTCCTCGAGGTCCCGCAGGTCCTCGCCGGCCAGGCTCGCAAGCGTCAGCTGGATAAAATCGGCCTCGCGCTGGGGCCGCTCCGTCCAGAAGGATAGTGGCGTGCCGCAGTACCCGCAGAAGTAGCGCTTCGTCTGCCGCTGCGCCGGGTCCTGGCTCTCGAAGACGCGGTGGATCATGGCGTGCGTCTCGTCGGGGAAGAAGGACGTCGTCGAGCTGCGGTGCCACGCGAGGGGCACGCGCAGGAAGGCGGCCAAGGGCGTGGCCAGGGAACTGCCTAGGGTGTTGTGTTAGCATGGCCGCGAGGCGATCACTGTTGTTTGTCCAGCATTCTCGCAAGGTGCTTGGTTGCACAAAGCAAAGCAAAGCAGCATGTAGACTTTGTAGGTTGAAACTCCCGATTAAAGCTTACGGTGCAGGGAGTCTGCGTTGAAAATGACCTGGGCCAGCTCAGTCTCGTTTTTCGGCACATCGATGATGTAACGATTGCGGCCACAGTGACAGCCCCCACGCAGTGGGCGGAGCAAACTCATTCTGGCAGGGGGGGTGGCTGGAGGTCAGGTAATTTGGAGAAGAAAGAAAGGCCTGCGGGCGTTCGAGTAAAGTACGTGAACTTGTCAGGGAGGTGATGATTTGATGAGTTGATGGGTTGATGGAGGCTCCAGAAGAAATTGAACGCAATGAAATAGTGCGCAACTCCGGTCTTGGGATGATGAGATGGGGACTGGACTGTTGCCTTGAAGAGTTGATAGGCAGCTGGGGAGCACAGCATGATCGTGACAGCACCAGCTCCAGCACAGTGCAGCTGCTTGCGGCACTCGTGGTGGGGCAGCTTCCTTCCCTCACGAACCCCCCCACTCTCCGTCTTCGTTCACTGTTGTCCGTGGCGCCGTGGCTGCCTACCGCTAGCCAGTGGCGCCGCTCACCGTTCACCTCAGTGACCGAGCTGGACACCGAGACCTCACCCCTTCGCTGTTAATGGATGAGATGCGGGCAGAGAGAGCCCTCCTTGCCCTGATCCAGCCCGTCGAGCATTTTCATGTCCTCCTCCTCGAGCGCAAAGTCAAACACGTCGGCATTCTCTCTCATCCGCGCCTCAGACGTACTCTTGACCAACGGCACCCATCCCTTCTGCAGGCTGTACCGCACCAGCACCTGCGCCGCCGTCTTGCCGTGCTTCTCGCCGAGTCCGCGCAGCGTCGGGTCTGCCATTTTCGTCCCGCGCACGAGGGGGCTCCAGGCCTGGATCACGATGCCGTGTCGTTCGCAGTCGGCGACGAGCGCGCGCTGCTGGCACCACGGGTGAAGCTGTGCTCGTTCTGGTCAGCACGGCGCTCTCTGTTCTCCCTATATATATATGTGTGTGTGTGTGTGTATTGATATGTAGCAAGAAATAAGTGGAAAATAAAAAGGTGAAGAGCTCACCTCGATCTGGTTCACGCTCGGCGGCCAGCGCCCCGCATACGACCTCATCTCCTCAAGCTGCTCGATCCCAAAGTTGCTCACCCCGACCGCCCGCGCCGCCCCCTCACCCCGTACCGACTCCAGCGCCCGCCACAGCGCCCGCCGCTCGCGGCACGGCCGGTGCACGAGGAACAGGTCGACGTAGGGGGCCGTCCCGCCGCCGCCGCCGCTACCTGTCATGCGGCGCACGCTCTCGCGGACGGAGCGCAGCGTGCGCGCGGCGCTGCCGTCCTTGCGATGGATCTTGGTCGTCAGGAAGACGGCGGAGCGGGGGAGGCCAGAGGCCCGGAGGGCGTTGCCGACTTCCGTTTCGTTGGCGTAGAGCTGCGCCGAGTCGAGGTGGCGGTAGCCGACTGCGAGGGCGGAGAGGCAGGCCTGTGTGCAGGCCGGGCGCGGCGTCTGGTAGACGCCGAAGCCGAGGCGCGGGATGGCCGTGTCGGTGCCGGGAAGGAGAACCGTGTCGTGAAGGGAGAGGATGGCGGGTGGCTGCGAGGCCATGATGTCGGTGTCTGTGTTCTGTGTTCTTCTGCCGTCAGGGTGTCAACAGTGAGTGTGAGAGGTGCAAGAGGCACTTGAGAGATGACAATTCGCCGGTTCAAAGTGATTGATGAGTCACCTGCCTGCACTGCACGAGGCACGACAGAGCAGACCTTTTCATCTCATGTCAAAGTCAATTGAAATGGTATTCATTACCGATGCAGATCCAATGCTCGTCGCCATGGCACTGTTTGTCCCGGCAGACGTGAAAACTATACAGTGCCGGTGCGAGGCCTCGTGTGCCTCGCTGCCACCCAGCCCCCCTTTGTCCGGAACGCCATGCCCATCTTCCCCGCGCCTGTTCTGGCGCGAGGAGAGACCCCGAAAAGAACGAGCCGCCAACGACAGGAAGACGACGATCAAGCCGTCTTCTTCTTCTTTTTGGGTCGCTCCTCGTCATCGTCGCCCCCGGCCTCGTCGTCATCGTCGTCGTCGTCAGCATCGGCACCGCCCTCTTCGTTGTCGACGACGCTCTCGGCATCCTCCGAGTCTGACGTCTCCGGGTTCGAATCGTACTCTTCGGCGACGTCGCTCTCGCTGTCGGCCCTAAAGTCCTCGTCGACGCTCTCCTCGTCCTCGTCGGCGGACCCGCGGTCTGCCTTGTTGCCGACGACCTCGTCCTCCGAGTCGTCCATGGCCTCCTCCCGCAGCGCGGCCTTGAGCAGGTTGGCGTCCTCGTCAATCTCGTTCTTGACCCTCAGGTTCTTGAGCTTGAAGAACGTCTCCAGCCCCTTGAGGTCCTCGCGGCTAATGTTGCTGAACTGCGTCGAGCCGGCGCCGTTCTTCATGAGAACGGTTATGTCAAACGTGGACAGGGCGGAAACGGCGCCGCCCACACGCGAGAAGGTGATGGACGCCGTCTGCTCGTAGGCAATGTACGTCGCTGGCTTGGGGATGAACATGAAGGCCTTCTCGAGACAGTAGAGGAAGCCCTCGCTCGCCTTGATCGAACACTTGATGCCCAGCTGGTTGCGGTGCCTGGAGTGGGGGGGAGGGGTCAGCACAAGAGTTGCCTTAAATCAGAAAGTATGGTATAGGGGTTGTCATACGTTTGGAAATCTTTCGCAGGCGTGGTCACCTTCTTATTGGCCAGGCCGCGGAAGATATAGGTGATGACCTGGTGGAGAGGCTGCTCGTAGTGAGACTGCAGCTTGTCGCCGTACTTCTCCTTGATCTGCTCCTCGGTGAGGTTGACGTCGAGCGTGACCTCCTCGTCCTTCTTAAACTGCATGACGACAAAGGGGTATCTCGTCTGGCCCTGCCTCAGGGGAGGATCCAGGCCCACGCAGAGCATGACGTGCGCGTCATCTGGCTTGGGGAGCACCATGAACTTCTTGATGGCCTCGTACTGGATCTTGTAGTCGTAGGTTTTTCCGCGGAGTCGAAACGACGTGTCATACATGTCGATGTCGAACCGTCCTCTGTTGGCATCGTGTCAGCATGTTCTCCGCAGGCGGGGCCACCTCGCGGGGCAGCGTACCTCGGCGTCAGGTGCAGAATGTCGAGGAACTGCGCAATGGCGTCGCCGGCCGTCTCTCCAATCTCGGCCTTCTCCATCAGGGTATCGTAGAAGAGCGTCACGGCGTTCTTCTCCTCTTGGCCTCCGCCGGCATCACTTCCCGCATCGTCGTCGTCCGTCTCCTTCTTGGCGACGCCGGGAATGTAGAAACGCATCTCGACGAGCTGGTCCTTGCCAGCACCCGCCTTCTTGCCCTTGCCACGCGCACCGCCGAGAGTCCCGTTGGTGCCTGTGTCGTTCTCGTCGGTGGGGGCGGCAAACTCGACGGCGACCTCGTTGCGGCCAGCGAGGTTGGTGTTGGAGATTTCCGAGTAGGGCACCTCAAAGGCCGGACGGTTCTGCACGTTGAAGGACAGCTCGGCCTTGCCGAACTCGGCCTTGCCCCAGTTCCAGCCGCGCAGGGCGTGCTCCTTGTTCTCGAGGGTCGTGCTGTACCAGTTTTTGAAGAGCTTCGACAGGCGCTCAAACTCGTCCTGCGGGAAGCCGTCGAGCTGGATGATGCGGGTGTCGCGGCTGAGGATCTTGATCTCGTAGCCCTTGGCGGCGCGACTCCACTGGGCGGATGCGATGGCGCTGGCGTCGAGGGTGAAGGTGTCACCTCCGCCGGCGGGCTTCCATCCCAGGCCCGTCTCGGCGAATCTGCACTTGCCGCTCGACTTGGACAGATCCAGGAAGATGCTGTCGAAGCTCTCGCTGTACGGTGGTGAAGGGGTCCTGGTCAGCAGCCATTCGCACCATCGTCTCAAGAGGGCGTTGCTAGGCAGGAGGAAGGCCAACGTACATTGCAGCCATGACTCGGTTGGCGCGTGGTTTCTCTTCTCTTTTGGCGGAACGTGTACTTTTTTTGGAGAGTGGAAAAGATACAATAGGTCTCGCAGCCGTCAAAAATGAAAGCTTCGTGATGACACTCGGGCGAATTGAGGATGGACGAGCTTGTGTCGGGGGACTACTAGGTGGGCGGCCGAGGGTGGGAAATTTCACTGGCGAAGTCGCGGTCCGTCGCGCTGGGCGATGGGCTGGCTGTTGGAGCTGGCCGGGGGTAGGCAGAGAGAAGCAGGGGGGGTTGAGTACTTGGTCGAGACCAGTCATTTCAGCGGCGGGAGGTACTTTACGCGGTGTTGACGTGGCCGTTGTGGCCTGCCGTATTCGCACCTCTCACTTGAGTTATGTTTATGTGCATATCGGGGGGTATCGTACAAACAGCCCGCACCGCCTTCGAGTCTCCACTCCACGTCTCGGCTCCCCAACACTAACACGTCTCTCTCTCTACACCTCCCCCACACCATTCTACTTCTGCTCTGGGGTGCTCCGATCGCCCCAGCTCTTGTATTCCGCACCCTGTTAGTTGGCCAGGCCACTGTTCAAACTCGAGTGCCTCGCCGTCTGGTACACGGCAAGGCTCCCTCGACATGCCGAAAGAAATGGCTGAAGGGTGTGTCCGCCATGTGAACATCAATCCTCTCTTCCAGCTCCAGCTCAGAGTACCGACATGAAGCTGCCTCGCAAATTCCAGGCCACTCTACGAGGCCCTCTCAGATCGTCGAGGCTACTCCATTTCGTGGTTACAGGCGGTGGAGGTAGGTGAGATTGCGGGGGAATAACCCACAACTAGATTCCATCCCCCAACCGCTGAGCGGCCAACCGCCGGTTAGCCTAGCTTAAGCTGCTGCTCGAGCCGGGGTTCGCTGTGGCCAGCTTCGGCTTCGGGTGACGGGAGACTGGGACACCTCCCCCAAACCATTCCTATCCTGGGTCTTCAAAGGAGAGAAAGCTTGTTCTCATTTCTACCAACTGTCGTCATTGTCGAATTGGCTGACTGCTACTTCACTTTCCAACCCCGTCCAACCGCCCATCGCACAGCACAGCTGGCCTTGTCTCACCACCGTCACAGCACCGTATCGCCAACGCCAGTCACTTCGGTTCGCTGCTCCCATCATGTCCAGTCCTCCTTCACGGCTCAAGAACCTGCTTGGTCATTTCCTGCCCTCGTCACAACCCACAGCGGCTGCCGAATACAAGCACAACTACAACGTCCACCAGCTCTCGCCCACCTTCTTTCTCGAGCGCGCTGCCGCCATTGAGCCTGATGCTGAAGCCATCTTTCACGTGACGGCCAATGGCAAGACCCTACGTCGGTCCTACTGCGAGTTTGCCGACCGCGCTCGTGGTCTGGCGTACTACCTCATCAAGCATGGTCTCCGCCGAGTCGGTATCCTGGCCCCCAACACACCAGCCTTTCTCGAGTCCATCTTCGGCATTGCAGCTGCCGGCGGCGTCAATGTCGCCGTCAATTACAGACTGAAGCCCGACGACGTCAACTACATCTTTGACTTTGCAGAGGTCGACTCCATCATTATCGATGCCGAGTTTGCCCATCTCCTCGATGACTTTAAAAAGTCCCATCCCAGCGTGCACTTCCTCATCGACACCGACACGGACGCTACCGAGGGCCAATTGAGTGGGCCCTTTGACGATGCTGTCCTCGAAGGCCTGCAGTATGACCGCGCTCAAGGCGCCAAGGGCTGGGCTGGTCTGCAGTCTCAGTGCGCCAGCGAGGACGACATGATCTCGATCCCCTTCACCTCGGGCACCACGTCCAGGCCCAAGGGTGTCGTCTACACCCACCGTGGTGCGTATCTGGCTGCCATGGGCAACATCATCGAGTCGGGCCTCAACTACCATGTGGGCCGGTGCAAGTACCTCTGGACCCTGCCAATGTAAGCATCCTTTTTCTGTGACGTGAAAGGGGGGTTGGAAGAAAAAATCATTCTTCCTCTTCTAACCTAACCAGGTTTCACGCCATGGGCTGGACGTTCCCGTGGTCTATCACAGCGGTCCGCGGCACGCATGTCTGCTTGCGCAAGATTGACTATCCCCTGATCTGGAAACTTCTCAAGGAAGAGGGCATCACTCACTTCAATGCCGCGCCCACCGTCAACACACTGCTCTGCTCCGCCAAGGAAGCCGAGAAGCTGCCCCAGGAGGTCCGGGTCACGGTCGCCGCCAGCCCCCCAAGCGGCCACCTTTTCGAGCAGATGGTGAGTGGCCGTCTGGCCGGCTCTTGCCGACCCCCCATGTGCCCTTTGTTGCGACGAACATGGCTGACATGCGGCAGACAAACCTCAATCTGCACCCCGTTCACGTGTACGGTCTGACCGAGACGTATGGGCCGATTACCAAGGGCTACCAGATGCCATCGTGGGATGCGCTCTCGCCGTCGGAACGGTATGCCAAAATGGCGCGCCAGGGCCACGGCTTCGTCACGAGCCTGCCGATCCGCATCATCAAGACGGACCTGCCAGAGGGAGAGCTGGTCGATGTGGCCAGGGACGGCAAGGAAATCGGGGAGATTGTCTTTTTTGGAAACATCTGCGCAAAGGAATACTACAAGGATGCCGAGGCCACGCGGAAGCTTTTCGCTGGTGGCGCGCTTCACTCTGGCGATCTCGCCGTGTGGCACCCCGACGGAAGCGCCCAGATCCTGGACCGGGCCAAGGACATCATCATCTCGGGTGGCGAGAACATCTCTTCTGTAGCGCTCGAGAGCATGCTCATGCAACACCCAGATCTCCTGGAGGCTGCCGTCGTGGCCGTGCCTGATTCGCACTGGGGCGAGCGTCCCAAGGCATACGTGACAGTCAAGGAAGGTCGCCAAGTGGCGGGCGAGGACGTCATATCGTGGGCGAAACACCAGAGCAACATCAGTAAGTTCATGGTGCCTCGCGAGGTGGAGATCGTCGAGGAGCTACCCAAGACGAGCACCGGCAAGCTGAAGAAGAACGTGCTGAGGGAGTGGGCCCGGGGAAGCCGCCAGGCATGATGTCTGCCGACGGTGGCACCAGGCTGAACATATACATGGGATAATCGAAGCACGATCTAGAAAGACTCGGGGCGCCCTGTTCGCACTTTTGGCTGCCGTGACCAAGATTAAGAGGCAGCCCGCCGCACGTGCAACAAACACGGCCCACGGCCATGGAAATAACCCTGAAATGTGTCGTTCGGAATGCGAGAGCGAGAACGTGGAAACGCTCCGCCAAGAAACAAAGGACGATGAAGCGCCGATTACGAGAAATGCGACAACTGACAATCGAACTGAACCGAAAGCCGCCGTGCGTAGGCGGTGGCTTGCCCCTTGAAAAGGCCCAGCGGAGGCGGCCGCCGGATAAGGTCGGTGCCCTGCAGCATGAGGCCACCTCAACAAACCCTGGACCTAGCTGACGAGCCCAAATCCAGGCGACGAGCGAGGCCAGGCCCGGGGTCTCGGTACCGTAGGGGTGTAGGGACCTCCCGGCTGTGCGACCGAAGGGCTGGAGCCCACGCCGGAGGATGCTGACCATCTCGACAGACTGTCTGCCGGAGCCCGGATCAGTCTGTACTCGGTGGTTCCAGGATCTTCTAGTGTCTCGTGCCGGGGTCGACGAAGGGCAACAATGATCGATCTGATGCCTTGCGAGGGGCTCGGCACTCATGTGACAGCTGTAGTGCCTCCCCTGCAAATTCCCTGCTTCGGCGACTCTGTTGGCTCGCAGAATCGACATGTCAGGCCGTTCGTTGCTCGTCATGGTCGGGTGCCAGACGAGCCAGAGCGAAGTCCCTGCAACGAACTGACAATTGGTATAAAACTGACGATGGGTTCTCGTTGGCAGTGCTGAAGTGCCGGACGTGGCCCCTCCTCCTAGCAGATGGTGCAACCACCAGACAACAACGACAACAAGAGTATATACACACGCCTGTGATACCCAACCCGGAGGGCGCCATCAACCAGAACGTCCGACTCGCGATGGATCACTCCTTCGACAAGACACATCGTGAACAAGAACAAGAACCAGTTTTCATCGACTACTTCCTTGACGATCCCGAGGTACGTTCTCACTTCTCCACTCCACTTCCATCCTTCTTTTTGCCCCTTTGCCTCTGCGCTTTTACATGCTGCTTCCGGTACCTGAATTCCACAGACGCATGTTTGGGGGAGCCTCTCGATATGCACACACACACACAACACACACATGTTGCAGTGCACATGTGTTTACTGAGGGTCAATCCATCTTCAGGCCCCTGATGGAGCTGACGTTTCGGAAACAGCCTGTTCTCCTTGTCGTCCGTTGCCTCGGTGGCCCTCCTCCCCCGTCTTTCTCCTCCAGTGACCGAGCCTGCGGTGCGGTGCAACAAAGAACAATGCTTCTAACGGCATTCTCAGCAATTGGGCTCGACACCACCACCCTTGGGCCAGACGCCGGTCTTCAGCACCGCAGGGAGTGCCGTCGATCACCTACAGGGGGGTTGTGTCCGCCATGGTGGCGGCGACCACGCCATGCCCGTCGGCCATCGTACGACCCCAACCTCAGCCCACCCACCACTACCACCACCACCACTACCACCACACCTGGCCACTGAGCCACGACCCCAGAACCACCAACAAGCACGACACGAACGGTTGATCCCCGAGCCGCTGTTCCGCGGGCACCACCTGCAGTCGCCGATTTTCGGGAGCGGGCTGCATGTCAATGCCCCTGCTGGCACCGCTCCATCGGCGATCCAGTCCCATCACGACGACTGGGCGTTGCCCGACTTCAGCGCCGGCTCTCTTGCTTTCCCTTCCCCAGCCGAGGCGTTCCTGGAGCCGCCAGTGGGCGCGACCAATGTCATCGACTTTGGCCTCGGCGGCGCCACCACAAACCACCATGACTACACGGACAACATCACGCCACTTCCGAGCGCCGCGAGCCATGCGAGAACGACACTCGACCACTTTGACTTTGACTTTGCCTTTCCCTCGCCGTCATGGGGCCCCAGCCTGGATGATGCCATGTCTTCTTCGCTCGCCGTCGCTGTCGGAGCAGGGACCACGTCCCATCCTCGCAGCGCCATGGACGACGAGAGCGACCACAGGGATACCTTCTGGGCCGACGAAGACTCATCCTCCGTTGGCGGCCGCCCATCGCCTTCGACAGCCGCCCGCAGGCGCCTCCCAAAGGGCAAGCACCGCGCCGACTCGCTCGACGGCGCCAGCAGCAGCATCTTCAGCACCGGCACCGACGACACGGGCGGTTCCCACGCCGCCGGTGCCGCCGATCTGAGCCCCGGTCTGCTCCCGCACGCAGGCCACGGGTCCGGATTCAGCCCCAGCCCCGGCACCATCGTCAAGACGGAGTCCTCCCACCACCCCGGGGCTACCGCCGCCGGCCGCCGCCGTCGCAGCAGCAGAGCCAAGTCGGTCGCGACGACCGCCTCGGCCTCATCCTCCAACGCCACACCGCCGTCGTCCGACACGCGCGCCCCCAAAAAGGCCGCCGCGGCAGCCACGGCCGCCCGCCTGCGCAGTGCCTCGCGCGCCTCCAAAAACGCCGCCCGCCGCCCGGCCGAGTCGGCCGAGGAGCGCCGCACCCGCGCCTCGCACAACCTCGTCGAGAAGCAGTACCGCTCCCGTCTCAACGCCCAGTTCGAGGGCCTCCTCAACGCTCTGCCCGAGCTGCCTGCGGCCGCCTCGCAGCAACAACCGCAGCAGCAACAGCAACCGCAGCAGCCGGCAGCGGCGGATACGGCCGAAGACCAGGCGGAGCGGCGCGTCAGCAAGGCCGAGGTGCTCGAGCGAGCGCGCCTGCACATCGAGGCCCTCGAGCGCGAGAGGGAGGCGCTGCGGCGCGAGAGGGAAGAGCTGCTGCGGAACCTGGCCGACATGGAGCAGGACGTCAGCGTGCGCATGGGCGAGGGGGCCTTTGGCGACAGCCTCCGCGAGTCGCCCGCCACAGAGGAGGACGAGGCCGAGGGGCAGGCCGAGCGGGAGGACAAGTGAAGCCGAAAAGCAGGTCCCTGCCTGGAAAGGGCCGGGGGAGGCTGGCGGCGTCCGTCATCATCAGACTGTCAGAAGAGATGTTCCTACATTGACGACTTTGGTTTCTCTCTTCTGTTTCTTTCTTTCTTTTCTTCTTGTCTTGTTCACCTGCCTCACATTGTACCACTGCTCACGATTTTGAGACTGTACTCCTAGCGGCATTTCTTTTTAAACTGCATTTCTGCGGAACGTCATCTCACGAGTAACCATGTCTTGGGGATAACTCGATTAACTCGAATAAAATTGATTCAAGGTCTGGTTTCCACCCAAAATATCTCTCCATGGCTGAAAGAAACACAAAAACGCCAGATAGCCTTGGCGCCTGGGCCGAACCTGGCCAGTCTCGAGCCTCTCAGGCTCTGATGTAGCAAGTCTCGCCTTGCCTCCTCCCCTGGAGGAGAAGGACCTAGTCCATTCAATAGGTCCCAGCAGCTCTATGCTACCCCCAAAGATGTCCCACCTTGTACAGGTTGTTTTTTGAGGGGTTTCCCACCCCCTTTTCATCATCCGTAAAATCATGCAACCCAGCCTGAATCTCCAATCTTCCCAAGATGTTTACACCCGGCGAGTGCCACACGGTAGAAGGCGCTCTCCTGCGAGCAGCCTTGTCTGATCAAAATAACCGTGCTCGAAGTGTAGGAAAAAAAAAGACGGGCAAAATATGACCGGTGAAAGTTGCCGAGATGTAGCAGCCAACGCTCAATCTCGAACACCGGTAGAAAACTCCAGGGAACTCCCGTAAACGAGCGTGCGTACAGGCCATGTACTGTCAGGCCTGCAAAAGTCTTTGTGAGAAGAAACGAAAGGAACAAAAGAAAATATTGCGAATCCCACGACTCAGCGAGTCCCATACTTGAAGAAACGGTGCCGGGGGTACGAGGTGGCCACAGTAGGGGTTGAATATCCTTGCCAAGTACAAGTTGATGCTCCACCATCAGATCCGGTTGCCAGCGTAAGCAGGCGGGAAAAGAGCATAGCCGCCAGCCGGGGTGCTCAAACTCGTGGTATGTGCCCTCTGACGCCTATGTCTGTATGTTTCTTTGTTTCTGGTGGACTGCACACTGTCACGCCCTGCACTGGCTGCGATACGCCTCTCCTCGTCCCGTATATCCCCCATGGAGCGGGACATGACATCGCCACCATCTGACCATGGGCTCTTCGGGCTCTTTGGTGACGACAGAGGTGGGACTTCGTCGTATTCCAGGGCAGCAGGATCGACGGTATCTAAAGCCTTGGGATTCCACGCCTCGAAGGCGGTGCCACTGGTATAACGAGTCAAGGCAGTCAAGTTGGAGTCTGCTGAGATGTGGCGCTCGTCGCTAGATGTGGTATGCCCAGTCGAATTCGAGCCAGTCGTCGACGTGCTGGTGCGATCATGAATGTACAGGCCGGAGGTGCTCAACGCCACAGGGGCATCCGTGCCGTAAGAGAAACGAACTGCCCCAGAAGAGAGCATCTCATCAGAATACCCGTCGACACGAGACTCTGCCATGACCATCTGCTGCTGGAAATCGCCTGGGATAAGGAGGGATGGCGAGAGGTTGAAACCATGGGATTCTTTGAAGCTAGATGCACGGGATGCAGTCCGCACATGCAGATGAGTAGGACTGCGGCATGTACTTTCGATTCGTGGATGCGAGAAGTTGGACGTTGTTGGCATCAACGGAACTGTCGGCGTGATGGCCTCGTGGCCGGTGGCTGTCGACGCTTGACTAACAGGACTGAGGGCCGGAATGTCAAAGTGCCGGGCCGGCACAGGTTGAAGCCCAACAGACAATGGCTGAATACCCTCGATATCCTCGTCAACGCAGAAGCTGTAGGAAGCCGTCGTCGCTGTCGCGTCCAGATCCACAGAATGTACCTCCTCATCCCTATCACCGTCAAGAGATGGCCGATCCCAAGCGTACTCAAAGTCAGCTTCAGCCTCGTGTTCGTAGCAATAGTCAATGTCATCTTCCCAGCTTTCACGAGGCAAGATTTCAACCTCGCTCGTCTCATGTAATGCTGCCTTCAGAGCGCGCTGAGCAGCAATCACGTCGAATCGTCCCAGCGTGTCGGAAGCACCACTCATGGGCCGATGAGGATTTTTGGACTGGAGTTGTGCTGCTTGAAGCTGTGCCGACAGGCGCAGCATTGGAACCGAATGACTTCCGCGCAGGGAGGAGTTGTTGCTTGCCAAGCTGAGACGCGATCGCCGTGATGATACGTGCTGCTCATCCTCCTCCGGAACATCAGCCAGAGCAGTCTCATACGCGAAAGTGGTGCTCGAAGTCGTCAGGGGCCACGCAGCATCATCAGGCGTCGTGATTGCGTGTGGGAAAATTGGGCTTGACGGCGATTCGACCTCTGCGGATCGCGCAGCAAGGAGTTCGCCGGCTGTTGTGGGAAGCGTATCACTCTCAGCAGGCAGAGGGAAAGGCTTCGGCTGACGGAACCCACCGCCGGTGACTGGTCGGTCCCACGAGCCAGCGATCAAGGAATCGGTCGCGTCGTACCGGGTCGACGTCCTGCTAGAGATACGAGGAGGCGGGATAGGCGGGATAACGTCTTCGGGAGCCCTGGGAGGCCGGGGAGGCGCCGCCGAGCGCGATGCGGCACTGTGCATCTGCTCCTGTGAGCGCGTACGCTTAATAAGACGGCGTGGTGAGACCATGCCTGGCGCCTGTCGTTGAAGTGGTGGGGACTGCTGCGGCGGTAGGCGTCGCGGTGATATTTGAGTGGGTAGATCGACCGGGGCACCATCTTCGCGTATGGCCAGAGCCTCAGAGGAAAAGTTGGAGAAATGAAGACTGTCGCCTTCCATGCCCAGCAGGGGAGCAGCTGGGGGCGGTCTTGGTGGACGAGGAGCCGAGAAGTCCGCGCGACTTTCACGTTGTGCTTGAGGCAAGTGTTCTCGCCGCGTGTGAGTGACGTGCTGAAAGTTGTAGGGACCAGAGATGAGCAGTTTCTTGTTACCACTGCTAGAGGCCGGACGGTCTACGGAAGTAGGGTCCGTCTTCGGAATCTTGCGCCGCCCAAACAGACCGGGGATAAGCTGCTCTTTCGGCGGGGGTATGGGGTTGCTATCCAGAGGTTGATCCGTCGAATAGAGTGAGCTCCCGGAAGAACTATTGGCATTGCTCTCTGCCCTCATCCTGACTTTTCGGTTGAAGATGGTCTTTCCGAACAATTGAACACTCTCTGGTCGATCGCGTGATGGCATGCTGCTCGAAGTTGACCGGCCGGAGGATCGCCTGGACAAGGTGATGTGCTCAAGCGTGTTTTCCCACGAGGGGCGATCCGTGGCGTGAGGACGAGCTGCAACTGAAGAGGTTGATTCCAGAGCCGAGACCCTCTTGACGTGTTTACTGAAAGCACGGATTCGTTCGGGCGAAGGCGGGCCGTCTACAGCTGGCTCAAACACGATGTCCTTGGAGCTTTGGGGGTCAGGACGGGACCGGGTGCTCGGGCGGGACGTTGATGAGGAGACATCCTGCTTCGAGCTGTCGTTATCAATGGTAGCCCGCCGAGCTGCCTTTTTGAAGTTATGGGTGGTGGAGTAGATGGGTAATGGTGCGGATGCCCACATGATGGCCGTCGAATGCTTCCTTTTTCTCTATTCTTCAGCGTTCCTGTCTCAGACCCCCGTGCTACGCCAGGATGGTGGTCTTAGAGCCACGGTGGGAACCAACGTCAAGACTGCACTCCAGCGCAACACCGCGTCGGTGCTGGCTTGACCTCTCCAGGCTCGCTCAGAAATCGAAAAAAGAAGTCCAGATCTGCTGTTGTACTTTCGGAACTTTTCTTGGTGTTGATATGACCTTTTTTGCGGGTTCGCGGGGGTGTGGTTGTGGACGTGCACGCCAAATGTTTGTGCGTAAAACTGTCTGGGCGCTGCAGATGGACGTGGGTGACTGACAGCTGGGCGGGAAAGCAATTGTTGACAGCAAAGCGACACAAGTCTTCCTTATACAGCAGACTGCTGAATTCGTGTGCTCAAAGTCGAGCGTGTATTCGGCATGCAATAGCAGACAAGCAAAACAAGCAGAAACGAGGCTAGGTGAGGCAAGCAGAGCAGAGCAGAGCATGATGGAACGGGAACAGGGGAAGCGAATCGGGGGGGGGGTACGTGAGACTTTGTTGATGATAGCTGGGCAGCGTCTCTGGGCTCTGGATCCCTGGGTCTAGTCTCCTCAACCTCCTTCCTCCCCTCCTACAAGGGGACGACGGACGGGCATGGGGCGGGCAGGGGAAGGATGTGATGCTGGTAATGACGGCCCCCTGCCCGGTGCAACCTAGAACCCTGCCAGCATGCTGCGAGTTGCTGCGCGGCGTGGATGGGGGATCCGTAATTAACCCTCCCAGTAGAAGACCCAACAAAAAAGGGTGCAATATGCGCTGCGCAGCAAAATACAACCCCTGGCATCCCGGCCGCGCTCTTTTCGGGTCTTTGCTGGGCACTGGTGTCGCGACAGGAGCCTGACCGGATGCAAGACGAGTCGAGACGCGACTCCAGCGAGCGTCAACGGGGGTGGAGGGAGAGGGGTGGAGGGGCACGGCACGTTGGAGCAACGGTGCTGGTGTTGGTCTTCTGTTGGCGGTACGTCGTGTGTAATGCGCACCTTGTGGATGCATTCTGCACACTGGACGAGCATGAGCATGAGCAGGGCATCGCGCGCCATGCCGCCAGGCTTTACCTGCTTGTGAGAGTAGCGTAGGTGCATGGAAACGAGTTTATGAATCAAGGTCGCCTGATGCATGTGCATGCACAGAATGACAGAGCTGGTTGTCAGCGGACTCGACTCGCCGTATGGGGTTCTCGTACCGCAACGCTCGCAGTAGACGATTCGGCGGGAAGCCACATGCTGTGATCAGTGGGAAGGCTAGGTAGCGTGGTTCGGCGCCGACGTGAGTTAGTGGGTATTGTGTGCAAGGAGCGGCATGCTCTGGTCTCGTTTTCTGCGCTGGACAGTGTCGCAGCACCCCGGTGGCGGCGCAAGACTTGACACCCATCTGAGGTACGGATGGGGGGTTTGCGTGAGGGACAGAGGAGGCGGGGCGGAGCGGGCCAGGCTGACGGCGCTGGGGCACCGCGTGTGTGGTTGGCTTTGGCTAGCGACGAATCGAGTCTGGTTGGCGGTTGAGGAGGAGATTCCGGGTGCGGATTCCGGGGGATGCTGGGCCGGCATGACGAGAAAGTCTGTCGCCGCGTGGTTGTCATTTACACGTCTTCTGTCCTATCCCGTCAGAGCAGAGGTGGTTAATTTGCGACGGGCAGTTTTCCATGTCGCGTGTCCGTATGGGTCGTCGACGCAAAGAGAATGGCGTGGACGCCGAGTCTGGGGAAGGATGCACGGTGCGAAGCGAAGTGGCAGAGTAAATCAGCAACAATTTCGAACGCAATGCGCGCGTGTCCATAGCACAGCACCACCTTTATGCAGGCGTGCCGGCTCGTGATCTGGAGACGGAGCAAAGCGGCAGCCGTCATCATGCTGCAACTGCGAAGCGAGCCCAGGCGAGAAGCAGCAAGAAAGAGGACTAGGCGTTCCAATGGCCACCATCATATGTCCCACGGCGCTCATGAAGCATGCGACATGTGAAGCTCGAGCCGATTGAGCGGGCCATCCATGGGAGTGGGAGCAAGATCCGTCAAACGCAGCGCCTGGGGCCAGGGAGGATGCGCTGTGCAGAGCTGGGCCGATCTGGGCGCGGCTGATGATGGACTGCATCGGGAAAATGGCGAATGGAAGCCAAGACGAGCTCGAGACGGCCTGGGAAATGCAATACCAGGTCGCCTAATCTCTGAGGATAATGAGCGTGACAAGCCGCTGGGATCCAGACGCGGGCTGGCAGGCCAGGAGCGCATGTCAGAACGGAATGGCATGTGGCGATGGTGGTACTGATGGTGATGATGGTGGTGTGGGTGGGTGTGTGGGTGGACGATGGGCAGGTGGGTGAAGTGGACGAGGGAGGGTTGAACCACGATGCCATCGAGGACCAAGTGCCGCGAAGTTGGACACATGGATAGATGGAAGGCACTGGAACCACAATGCAAGGTACCGCGTCCTTTCGTCCTGCTGCTCTGAGATGAACTCTTCCTTCGTCTTGCTCGGCTGCACTCTGCGCAATCCGGCAGGAGCACCCCCTCCCTGGCAAGATCGCACATGTAGAGGTTCAAAAGGCAAGAGTCCAACGGGGAGAGGCAAAAAAAGGCAAGAGGATGAGCATGAGCATGAGCATGAGCATGAGCGAGCATAAGCAGGTGCAGGACTGGAGGGCTGCAGCTTCCCGCGGCGTGATGGAACAATAAGATGGAGGGCGGTGACGCGTTATGGTTGGACACACAAAGGTACTCCAGGATGGGCAAGAAGCACTCGAGGTGCCCGGCCCGCAGTTGCTGCAAGTGATGGTAGCTCCACTGCAACTTCCCTGGACTGACCGGTCAACAAGACCCAATGTTGGGTGGTCGCCTTGACGAGGATGAGTGACAGCTGAAGCCTCGATTCGCGGCCTGCTCCGACGTGATTTTTCTTTTGGTCTTGTTTCCCACGCTTGTGAAGAGGCGTTCGCTCTGCTCAGACTCAACTGAGTTGGCTCCGAACATCTTGCTCCCAATGCTTCATCAGGTGCTAGGCTCGCAGCTAACGCAGCCATTCGCAACCCAGGCCGTTCTCGACAGTGAGCACCACACGCCCTTGTCATCGTCTGACTGGCCACCGTCAGCCACCCTCTCGTTCGCTCGGCTCGAAGCTCTCGGGGTCCATCTGTACCTGCAGTCAACAACACTTCGACCCTTGGCTTGCCCGTCAACAATCGTCACACATCACAGCCGAGCCCCGGGTTGCCACCAACCTCCCTCACCTATGTCGCTGTGCCCGTGGGGCCTTGTGGGGTTGCGGCCAAATAAGGATGTTGCGTACGTCTTCGGAATCGCCTTGTCCATCGTAATTCCATGGCGCAGCCGTCAATCACACTACTGTACAATCTTGGGTTACGCCCATCTATCCCAATCTCTCTCACCTGGTCCACCTCCGACATTGCTCCCCCAGACACCAGCTTGCTTGCAGACGTCAGGGATGCCGGTTACCACCTTGCCTCGCGGTGTGGCCCTGAGGCTGACTGGCTGACATGTATGGACTGTCCTTGATCTATCCACCCATCCACCGAAAGTATCACACGAGGACTGGACGCTGACTTGTTGCCCTTCTCTTCGCAGCCAACAAAGTCTAGCCAGCCGACATGGCTCAGAGGCCCAGCAGCAACCCGGCGTGCGTTGCATACCGTCCCGCACAGTTGCATCTCGGAGGAGTCAGATCCCTCCAGCCGCGGCTGTGTGTGTCCCCCTCGGCTGTCCGAAAGCCATCTCCTCCAATCTTGCCAGCCTCGGGCAACCCATGTGAGACCGCCGCTGCTTCCAAAAACCCTGTGCTCGAGGCGAAACCTCTCTACTGTATCCTCGTTGCAAACCGCCATACCGCACCTGAGCCAGAGCGATGCCGATTGTGACAGATCATGATCGACGCGGCTTAGCACCTTACCCTGACCTGGCCTTCTCCGCTGGGGGATTCTATCCCCAGTTTTCAAGCAGCAGGGGGTTTCCTTCCTGGTCCAACAAGGTCGACGGCGCCACATTCCGGCTGCCCTCGACCAGACAGACCCTGGAAGTTGGCCCAGGGCCTGGCCTCGCTACCAGTATGGTCCAGGGGAGGACCGCCAGTGTACCTGCCTATGTATTTCCTCCTTCGTCAGCTTTGCCAGCTGCGTGCTTGCGTGTGTGTTCCTCTTACGGCACGCCTGCCGACAAGCCTTTGCGTCCGGTGGAGGGTCTAGCAAAGGTCCAGACTCCATATGTGCGTCATCTGCAGACGAGCAGAAGACACATTATTCGAGGGCCAGAAAAGTCGTGTTGGTGCAACTCTGGCCGCCTATTGCTAATATGGCATATGCAGCCCTCTCGACCTCAACACCCCACTGGCGATATCTGCGATGCCCACGCATGATGATTGCGGTGGAGAATCAAGAATCGCGGGATGATAGTGGAAGTGTGATAATGGAGTTGAATGGCGTTGCCAGCCTCGTCCTGCCTCCTCTGGCAAGACAGCCCGAAAGGCCGAAAGGCCGAAAGGCTGGGAAGGTAACAGATTGCTTGGCTGGCATGTCAGGTTGGGATGTGAGTCTCGATTGGACAATGGCCCTGGCAATTCCACGTGTGGTTGGTTCCCAGTCCTCTTGCCCCGTTCGGACCTCCAAGCGTCTGGACTGTTAGGCTGAAGCTGTCCGTCAGAAAAGTGTGACACTAGGCAAGCTTGCTGTTGCATATCCGGGGTCTTCTACCTGCAGTATTCGAGAGGGCAAATGCCTCGGGTGGGTTGTCAGTCGGTCCACGAGTCTGCATCAAGCCCCAACAGTACGCACAGACGGTTGACCAGTCGCACATCTCACGTCGAGCCCCCGCGTTGAGTCGAGCGGCCTTGTGCTGCCCACCCCACAGCATAGCGGAGCGTCCCATCACGGCGGGACAGTTGTGCGTCGAAATGCGTCCTTTTTTCATACCTTCGTGTCGATGTTGTTCCGTCTACGCCATGTTTG